AGCTGGATGGATACCGGGACCTTTATAGTAAGATTCAGGCGCCAATGGGTGTATTCTCCACATTGGGCAATCATGACTATGGCGATTATGTTCAATGGCCTTCGCCTGCTGATAAACAACAGAATCTGGAAACCTTGAAAAAGGCCCATGCCGATTTTGGCTGGCGCTTATTGATGAATGAGCATGTGGTCCTGAACCGCGGCAACGAGTCTATTGCCATTGTGGGTATTGAAAACTGGGGTGCGAAAGCCAACTTCCCGAAGTACGGAGATATGAAAGCGGCCTACAACGGTTTGCCCGAACAGAATATTCCGTTTAAAATGCTGCTGTCTCATGATCCGTCTCACTGGGATGCGCAGGTGCTGACCGAATACAAGGACATACAGCTCACTTTTGCCGGGCATACCCACGGCATGCAATTTGGCGTGGAGATTCCCTGGCTGAAGTGGAGCCCCGTACAATATGTGTACAAAAAATGGGCGGGCCTCTACCAGGAAGGTGAGCAATTCCTGTATGTAAACCGTGGCTTTGGCTTCCTGGGTTATCCCGGACGGCTGGGCATTATGCCGGAGATCACCGTGATTGAACTGGATACAATTGCTTAATTTATTCTTCCGGAAACCGTTTGAGCTGAGCAGTTGTAAACTTCCATTGCGGTGTAACGACGGCGGGTTTGGTTTCGTCCAACTCATACCAGGGACTAATAGCTTCCTGAAGTGGGTTCTGTAATACCTGTATCTCCTGGGCCGGCATATAACTCTGGCTGAGCAGGAATACTTTTTTACCGGCTTTGTTGACCGCCATATCCATCACCGTTACGGCATGGCCCGGCGATCCGCCCACGATCAGCACATCCCCGATCTTCATATCGGTGTAAGGAACAGAGACCAGCTCTTTGGCTAAGGACAAGGTGCCGGCGAAGGTGTAAACAACATCCAGGTATTGCCTTAAGGAGGCGTGGTCGGATGCAGGAGCTGCGGCTGGCACCCAGTCGGTTTTATTACCGTTGACACGCAGCCTGTTTCCCTGGGCCCACTCCTTAAAACTAGCCTTAAAGCCATTCGTCAGGTTAAAGTGAATTTTAGTATGCAGCCCCTGGCTAAACAAATATTCCGCCCGTAACCGCATCACCGCATCGGCACATTGTTGTAAATCGCTCGTTCCGACATCATACGTCAGTACTGCCGAATAGATACCCGGGTTCTGCTTGACGCCGCCATTAAAAAAATGCACTTCACTGCCATGCGGCTGCAAGGGCGACTGACGCAGGAATAAACCATAGGAGCCGGCGGCTTCACCTGTTCTTGTATATCCCGCTGGTGGATTGAACCGCGTTTCAATGGTATGCCCGCGTTCATTGATAATGATTATTTCAGGAGCGGTGGCAATGTCGGCAACCTCATTAGTCGCAGGGGCTACAGGTTGACAGGCCTGGAATAAAAACGCTGAAAGGATAAGGGTCCATAACCTCATAAGCATGTTCTTTTAAAGGGTGAATACTTATAAACGCAGATCCAATGGAATTTCATATCCGCTTTCCATAATTCTGAATAAAAAACTGTAAACTGCATTTCTATCATGAAAAAAATTGCGGCACTTTACCGCGCTTCCTATACTGGCCTTTCCCCATCCAGCTGGTGGCTATCATTGGTAATGCTCATCAACCGGAGCGGTACGATGGTGCTACCGTTTATGACGCTTTACCTGACCACCCGGCTTAACTTCACCTTATCGCAGGCGGGTATGATTATGGGCATATTCGGCGCCGGCGCTATTTGCGGCGGCTTTCTCGGCGGACGGCTTTGCAGCCTGCTGGGCTTTTATAATGTACAGCTGATCACACTGACCGGTGGTGGCGTTATGTTCCTGGTGCTGGGTTATATGGAAAGCTTCACGTCTATCTGTATCGTTACGTTTATACTCAGCCTGATCAATGAGTCTTTTCGCCCGGCCAATTCTATTGCCATTGCGCATTATAGTAAAGAAGAGAACCGTACCAGATCTTATTCTTTAAACCGGCTGGCTATTAATATGGGCTGGGCTTTAGGCGGTAGCCTGGGTGGATTCCTGGCGGCACACAACTATCATTTACTGTTTATACTGGATGGATGCACCAGTATTTTTGCCGCCATCCTGCTACGGATATTCCTGGCACCGGCAGCTGAAGAACGTAAGAAAAAGAAAAGCACTACCACTACTGCCCGCTTTGATGCCTACCGCGATAGACAATACCTGTTCTTCAATATAATGGTGATCCTGTACGCCTATACTTTTTTCCAACTGTTCAGCACCTTACCGATCTATCTGAAAAAAGTGCTCCACCTGTCCGAGCAATTTATTGGCCTTACCATGACGATCAACGGGATACTGGTAGCACTGGTGGAAATGGTGCTGATCTTTAAACTGGAAGGCCGGCGGCACCCGATGCAATATACCAAATGGGGTGCCCTGCTGATGGGCCTCTCCTTCATTATTTTTAACCTGCTGCCACATGAAGGCACAGTCACAACCTGGTTATCAGTGGCCATGTTGGTGGCTTTGATCAGCACCGTGCTGGTCACCTTTGGGGAGATGTTTTCCATGCCGTTTATGAATACCTTCTGGATCAGCAGGACCAATGATGATAACCGTGGAGGATATGCCGGGCTCTATACGGTATCCTGGGCGCTTGCACAGGTATTAGGCTGGTGGACAGGCCCTACCCTTGCCGACAAGATCGGTTTTACCTGGCTATGGTGGCTGGTTGGCGGAACGGCTGTAGCAACGGCGGCAGGCTTCTGGTTGTTGTAGGCATGGGCTGA